CACAAGTTGCCCCCCTTAAGTTTGAGCCCGGCCGGAACAAGGCCGTGATCTTTACAGCGGTGATTGAACCAGAGTTGTTGTCGTATTCGCCTGACAGTGCTTGCGTAGGTGATGTAGTCGTTCGCAAGTCTTTCGCTCTGTCGTCCAAGTGAACGTAATGCAGTAAATGGTTTGAACCCGGGGGTAACATGTGAAGGTGTAGTCTGATCGTCCGGGTGAGTGTAGTCCTGAGAAGGACTGTTGTTGGTGGTAGTGACTGACGTTTCGACAACCTGTGCGGAAGTCATCATCAGAGTCAAGTGATGTCTTCCGCACAGGTCGTCGAAACATCAGTCACTACCACCGACAACAGTCCTTCTTAGGACTACACTCACCCGGACGATCAGAATACACCTTCACATGTTACCCCTGGGTTCAAACCATTTACTGAATTTCAACTTAGTTGATAAAAACAAATTACCTTGTTACCCCTACTGACACAGCATTACAGTTTTTATAGAAACTTATCTCCTTTATTCCTTATTGTTTAGACTTGATTTAAATTTAGATGGACACTTGGTGATTTTTTTAAGGGTGTCCATCTGACCTCAGAGAGTTCATTGTCTTATAGATAAGCTCAGATTTAACATTGACAGTATTACTTATGCACTAAGGTAGTTAATTAAAAAGAGTAACAATTAAGTATAGAGTTCTTCAGGGTTTTACAAAATATTCTAAGAGAATTTGAATTAGTAATACTTGTAGGTAAGGAATTCCAAAGGCAAGGGCCAGTGAATTTTAGGGACCGTAAGCCATATTTAGTTCTTAGTAACTGAGTGGGAGGTCTGAATGGGAGAATCTTGACGGAGGTCGCCAGTAGAGACTGAACACAGTGAGGTCTGTACCAGCGACCGAGGTAAAGATTCTCCCATACAGACCGACCTAGCTCGGTTAGTAAGATGTTTATTATACAGCTGTGTCTTATATGCTAATTTGCTCTACCTTTTATATGCTGTACCTTTTTTTTTAGACCGGTCTAGATGCCAGTCTAGATGGGAAAATCTAGACCCTTTTCAATATTGATTTCAGCCTATCAAATTTGTGAATTTGGTAGTTCCCAGTCCTTGTGAGACAAAGCCATATTAGAATGAGTAGTATTAACTGTGGCTACATAAAGATTTCTGTTACTTGATTGCCTCATTGAATAGGAATGAACAGAAGATTTAAATTTGAAATATTTACCTAAACAAGGGCGTAACAGTCTATGTGACCACTGATAAACAAAAGAGAGAATCTGTAATTCAATATGATCATGGAGCTTAAGAAGATTGAGGCATTTAAACGGTACATTAATTTGAATGTATATAAGACACTGAAGCATATTTGCATCATTCTCTCTTGTCAGACTTGGAAATTTATTCCAGAATTAATAAGGTTAGTGGCATCTTGAATATGTATGGTGATCCTAAATAGAAATGCTGTAATAGGGATTTACCCGTGTTCCTCACAAAGAATGGAGCAAGTTACCCCAAATTTGTCCATCTGCTCGTGTTTCTAGAAATTCTACCAGATACTCCCTTGATCCTAAAACTAAAAAAGAACATTTGTTGCATTTCCTGAAAATTAACTCTCCCACTTTCTGTGAGAACCATGATAGCTTCCCTGATTCTTCTATGCTAATTGACAAAATCCCTACATGTAATTTCTCAAAAGTTAATAGATGTGGTCCTTTGGCTTTCACAGGCTTAACTCTTTCACTCTCAGAAAAGATTAGCATTGAACTTCTCTATATCATACCCATACATTATCTAACCAATGGGTAATGAGAATACTCAAACTTATCAAGCAGAAGTTGATCTCTAGTTGATCTAGCACCAAATTCTTGTAACTAATTTACAAGGAAAATTAATGTGTAGCAGCTAGTGGGGGAGAATTAAAAATCAGATCTTGGGGGTTAAGGAGAGAGTTGCCCCACCCTTTGCTAACAATGCATTTTGTCTCGTACTGCAGATGCTGGACCAATATCCAAAAGGAATGTGGCTGAAGAGAATTTCACAAGAATACAAGAAATTATATAATGAAGAACTTTCCAGTGAAAAATTACAAAGATTGAAACATCT